AGTGTACATATAAGTTTGTTAGACCGACGCAAACAATACATATTTTCAAAGATCAATTTCATCTCATTAATCATTAACCTTTTTTTAATACATTGAGTTGTGCTAATGAAATATTTACGTATATGCAAAACGCAATTTTTAGAGTCGATTGGATTTATGAAAAAAGCTCTTAGGCTCTCAGAGAATTTGTATAAACTTTAAAGCCTTTAAGCCTTGTCTCCACGATGCTAGAAATCGCTCCGAAAATTAACCAATCGCATTGGCCAATTGCCGAATTTCTTAAATATGATTGGTCAATTTTCTTTCTCCGTCCGAGATCTCGAAGCGATTTCTAATATCGTTCGAACACAAAGCTTTGGAACGCTTCGTTTGTTTTTCTGCCCTCCTGCTCACCTTCTTATAAGCTCAAAGCCATGCACGCACATTTGTATATAAGGGAACGCTTAGCAATTTGACTGCCTGTTCTTTGTCTGTACGTACCGGTTGTGGATCGACACGCAGTTATAACGGTCCTAAAACAATTTTGGATTTTGTAGCTTCAGTCGCCGAAAAATTCAGAGGAAACATGTATCGGCTCTTTGTGACGGTAATCACGATAATCAACTTCGCGTCAATCAACGCGGAGTTGCATAGGTGAGTACATGTTATATACAAACGATCCTGCACATTTATATCGACACGATGAATTATAATACCGTACAGAGGTTCCAACTACTTGGAATCGCCGCGGAATTCGCGATAAATAATTATCAAATCAATTTCAAATACCATAATTGTATCAAATATGTAAGAAAAACGCATTTTGAAAGTCAGAATAAAGTGAGCAAAGTAATTACAAGAGATGCTTTGAGGAATCCTTCGAAAATCTTATTTTAAATGAGATTAGCATCATGAAAAGAGGAATTTGCATTTAAAATACCAAACTATATTCTAATGCGTAAATATATGCAGGTAGCATTTATTTCTCAATGCCATATAAGCTTTAATAGTTTTTAAATAAGAATTGCTCAAAAATAATGAAATAAATTAATTGAAATTCGTATTTATGTTGTACGATATATGTACATACATTCGCGTTTATACGATACATATACGCATATAATATAACGGAAATTTTTTTATGTTGCTTCAAGAATTCCGTTACACAAGAGATACACTGTTGAAAAATTTCCGACGGAAACTATGATACGACTCCGTTCGAATACGGCAAACGTACCTCTGATTAATTATCTAAATTTGGAATACTACGGTACTATCGAAATTGGAACTCCACCGCAGACATTTAAAATACTTTTCGACACTGGTTCATCAGATCTCTGGGTGCCATCCAAAGACTGCGACGTTAGCAAACCTGCTTGCTGTAAGTATATCATGACATCGCTACCTCCCGGACATTTTATTATTCCTATTTGTATTCCCTACATTTGTATTTAAAAAATTAATGTTTCAAGTATATTAAAATAATCTTAATAATTTTTTTCTCGTTTAATGATTGATATCAAGTAAAAATATAAGATAAGAATAATGCTGTAGAATTGTATCTATTCCATTTACATTTCAAGTAAAGTTACAATATCTTTAAAGTAA